TTTTGTGACGGGCTAAGGTTATATACTGGAAAGTGGAGCAGCAAAGCTTGGAAGCTAAGAGCTTGCAGCAAGTCATGCCGAAAAAGAGGTGACACTTTGCGAATCTATTCTTTCATCCCCGCGTAGCATGTAGCGTAATCCGCTCAGCAGCGCAAATTCAGCTGCAGCACCCGAAGCGAAACACATGACAGTGTGGATAGTCCAGACTCCTGCCAATAACTCATGGCCTGAGCACTGTAAGGTGCCCAAGACACAGCCCAAAATCAAACTGCACATTCACGCAGCTTGAGAACATGAAGCAACTCTTTGGAGGCGCACATGGTTTTCATGGGCCTGCAAACCCTGGAATTTGGCCCACTGATTTTTACACAACAGGAAGGTTTGTCATAAACTTCTTTGCCACCTTGCAAGCAAGATCGTACGGTGCCACGGTGCCATTCTTGATCTCCTTCTTCTTAGCCTTGAAAACCAATTGGCACTCCTTCCAGAAGGGGTCCTTAGGGCGAAATGAGCCAGTGACGAAAACCTGAAAATCCTAATCTCAGGCAACATGACCTGCTAGAACCTGATCTGATTCGAGACATGGCTCTTGGTACTTGCCAGGGTAATCCAAATACAAAGCGACCTTGTCATTGAAGGCTACCCGAATGGCGTTCCATGTCATGTACTTCTGCTCTGTTTTCGGCGGGGGCCTGCGGGCAAATGATTTCTCCTTTGTCCCAGCAGCGCACTTAGCCTCCTCCTTGTCCTGCTCACCGTCCTCATCCATAGCCTCATTGCTTGCCTCATCCTTGGAAGGCTCAGGCTCAGGGCAGCGCTTGCTGGCCTTCTGATTCTCCACGCCCGCCGACGTGTTCATCTTCTTGCGCTTCTTGGGCACCTTGTCTTCAGGCTCCGCAGCGTCTGCAGCCGCCCGAGCTGCGGCACGCTCTTCTTGCCAAAGATCCCACTCCCTTTGAACATCTTCCCAGTCGCAGTTCACATCCTCACTGTCATCATTTCCATACCACCACTGGGCACCTGAGTCCCCCATATAGCCATTCCAACAGTCCCAGCCGTAGTGGCCCCAGTCATGGCCCCAGTGGCCATTTCCCACACTCCATTGCTGGCAAGCACGACCACGGCCGCGTCCTCTCCCGCGACCTCCTCGTCCGCGTCCTTTGGGAGGCTTACCATCATCCTCACCAGCTTCCACTGCCCCCGGGTTTCGCCTCAATGCCGTTTGATCGATCCGCCTTGTGAAGCCCTGCCGGGACAGGAGCAGGCTCACGCAACACGAAAAAACTTTTGGAATGGAAGACCCTATGAAACCCTAAACCCGGTACAAACCCTGTAAACCCTAAACCTATATAACCCCACAAACCCCATAGCCCTAAACCCTGAAACCTATGTAGTTCCCACCTCGTGTTCCAGAACATCAAACTCCTTCTCTGCGTCCGCGGAATCTAATGTCTGCGTGGGCACATCACTGTCATGGATCTTCTTGGGCTCTGAAAGCTTTTCAGGCGTGACCTTATCCAGCGACTCTAGCAGGCATCGGGGAGTGGGTGTTACTGTTGGGGTAGGCAACGACTCCACTGGGGTCACTGGAGGAGGCATAGCCGGTGATTCCATGACCTGGGTATCAACCATGGATGGGTCGACAACGATGCTGGCAGCATTGGTGGCTGACCTGATAAGTACAGAAGTCTGCATCACAAGAAACCCACCTGAAAAGCAATCAGCAAATCATGTTCAGACGGCCTCAGTTCTCGCAGCTTTGCCAAAATGCGAAGCTCCTCCATATCCAAGTCCATTTCGACAGATTCCTCCGAGGCCTTCATGTCTGGTGCGGAAGTGGGAGCAGGCTTTGAATCCACAACAGCAACCTTAGGCTTGGAAGGGGACTCAGTTGGGGAAAAGGTCTGGTATTCGTCAGTCTCAGCTGGCGAGAAGTGGAGCGCCAAGGCCTCAGACATCTCAGTGTCTGAGAGGCATTCTGGGTCAATGTACTTATTCTGTTCATCATCGTCCATCTCAAACACCTCCTTCCCCTTCCTATCTCGGCCCTTGGGCACATACTTGCCCCACGCTGCTTCCATGACATGAAAGAACTCCTCCATCACGGGATCACGGACTTTGCGGGCAGCTCCTCGCCTGCGCACTGCTAGCGAGAAGAGGCGGCGAATGCCCCAGCTGTCTAAGTAGGTCATGACGTCATCTGATTCAAAATCCATTTTGCTCCTCCACTCCTTTACCTTCAGGGAGGCTGCTGGGCATCTTTTATGCTAATAAACCTTCCTTTACAACACACTAGACATGGGGCTTGCATAGCCTCAGCGCGAATCACCGGAATGGGTGGGCTCTTCGCGAAGTCAAGTAAACCACACCAGCTTTGCGCTACACACAATAGCACATCCGCGTTGAGACGCATTGCGGGCATAGAGGCCACTCCACGGCACTTTGCTGAGGGCCATTTTGTCAAGCAGTGGCTGCTTCGGGACCTGCATCTGATGACATCATTCTTCTCCCATGCATCCGCTAGTCTGCCCAGATGCCATTCGACATCTTGAGGAGGCTTAGGATGATCACCCTTCCCCATGCTGAGTTGCGCAGCAAAGAGCAGCTTTCAGTTGAGCCAACCTACCACAATTATTGGGCGCAGGTTGCAGCAAGCACATAACAACAGCAGAGCAAACTGGATGCAAGACGAGACTTAAGCCCAGCACCAGCGTCAATCATCTTTCACAAACAGATTGTTGTACCTGGCCGGAACTTGTTGGCGCGCAAGCAGGGGATCTTCAGGAGGATAGGGCAAGCATAGGGCAAGTGCACAGAAATATTTTCCACTCTCAATCATGATCAGTGGAATCTTTGTTGGCCCTGGGAGGCTGCTTCCATCACTGCTCGTGGCCGGCACCCAGCTCACCTGAGTTGCAGTGAGTTCGTTCGCTCTTGCAAGAGGGTGTATACTCTAGTTTTTCAAAATGCTACCAAGTTGCATTTCTTGAAATCTTCTTCTGTAGATTGAGCAATCTTGTAGGCGATCCCACGGCACTCGTAATTGTATATCACATCGGAAAGGCGATCATCCCAAGATTTCGTACAGCATTCCTCCAAATGTGTATGTGGTTGGGCTATTATACTCGAAACGCCTCTGAAAATCTCAGCCGGTCCTGATCATACCCTAGAGCATGGATGCTTCTCTCCCAAAATCGAAGAGGCTGCTTCTGAAGGCCTGTTGCAAGGGCAAGTGGGATTTACATGCAAAATGCGACTCGTCTTACCGGCCTGTTGCTTCCATCTTTTCGGAAACTGCACTGGAAGCATTTTTGATTGCTGTAGCTACGCTCATTGTGCTGAGGTTAGCTCGGGCCTGAATGCTGTGACAACAGATTGCTGCTAATGCAGTGCACAGCTACAACCAATCTCTCTCACATTGTGCAGCAGGGAGGCGCACCTGTCACGCGGAAACCAAGGGGAAGAGGACGTGCACCATGATGTCAAGGTGCATCAAGCTATCTCTATGAACTGTTCTGTCTTTGGACGGATACTTGATTCACTAGCCCACTTGGACATCTAGAGTTATACGAACATGACACACTCGCTCCTTGACATGTTGCAAGTTAAGGGCTTGGAATTGGGTACAGATGGCAAATATGCTAAAAACACAAGAATAGCCACACCCAAGTAGAATCAGCCACTTGCGCAGTCTTCGAAGTAGATTCTGCCTTGAGGGCTGTTCTCGGGCCAAGTATGAAGAAAAGGCGATTCTTCTGAGAAGGCTGAAATTTTACACATGTTTGCTGCTACAGGTA